TTAGAGAGAGAGAGAGAGAGAGAGAGAGAGAGAGTTTTCTTACCAGATAAGAACAACAAAGCAAGAGAGGCTCCATCTTAGAGAGAGAGAGAGAGAGAGAGAGAGAGTACAGATCTAGAGAGAGAGAAAGCAGGGTTTTTGAAGGGAAGAGAGGGAAAGACAGAGAAAGTAAGAAGGAGAAAGCTGTGAGCTGATGACAAGAAGTGTTTCTTCTTCCTTCGGCATTTCCTATGCTTTCCCTTTCTCACACAAATATAGAGCGACAAAACCTGGGTGGGTGTTTGGGACGTTTTTAGTTGGTTGTTTTAATTTTTGATTATTTTAATAAATTAAATTTTTTGTGTTTAAGAATTTAGTTAATTTTTTTTATAATTATATGTGATATTTATGATAAAAAAGTGAAATTATTATAAATTTAATATAATATATTATCGTATTAACTATTTTAATCTATTTTATACTTTTGTGAATTTTAGTTAAAAATAAGTTAAAATCCAACTTGTCAAACACTCCCAACACTATGTGCACAATGTCCGCCCACAGTGTAATTTCAAATTTCGGAGTCATAATTAAAAAAAATGTCATAATTAAAAAATTTATGAGTTATAATTAAAAAATAAAATTAATTATAACTACAAAAAAAATTGTACAATTAAGAGTACATATGACACATCTTTTTTAAAATGGTGTATATTAAAATTTTCCTTTTATTTAGGATTGGGTTTCTCATCTCAACATGAGACAATTTGAGTGGCCTATACAGTGTATTACAAGTCTTGTTTCAATTATCTGAACCATTTATTTTGTAGAGTTTTCAATATGTCATCTATAAAAAAAAATTACGTCATGTATATAATCGTAATTTTTTCATTTTATTGCATTTGCCTCTAAAAAAATTGATGATTTATTTCAAATATATATTTGTCGTCAATTTTTTTAGAGAAAAATGCAACAAAATGAAAGTTACGATTATTTGATTGAATTAAATTTTTTTCATAGATAATATACACTAATAGCCCTGCAAAATTAACTATTCAAATTATAAAAACTGGACCCGTGGTGGATTTTATAGACCTCTCAAGTTCATGTTGAGATCTCAATATGAGAGAAATCCAACCCTATGCAAAATGTATTTAAGTCAAATATTGAGGATGTCTTATTAATTTTTATTAAATGTATTTCCTTTTAGTACTTATTTTCTTTAACAATAAGATTATATTAATCATCATTTTAGTAAGATTATATGAATAAAATTAAATACAATAATACAAAAACACTTGAATAAATAAGAAAACATATATATACATTTCAATGTAAATACATGATAATTTATTTTTTTATTCATATAACAGGGGTTAATTACACTTAATACACTTATACCTTTCGCAGTAATTTTACTTTTAATTGTAATAGTCAACTTCTTACATTTTATGTCAAATTACAATATTATCATTATATTTATCTACATTTTAAGGCTAATATATTTCTTTTGTCTCATTAAGTATCCCTATTGTTTGTCTTTTACTTTCACTAAATTCGCAGCTTTAGTTCTTACATTTTTACTAAATCTCACTTTAGTCGTTTCATTTTTAATTTTGGACAAATTTTACTTTACTTCCTGTGGTTTAGGTCATGTGTGATTTATCTCCATAATATTTGAAAATGATCACATAATCCTATTATGATTTGTGAACTGAAGTATACTGTTAAGCCCGTTAATAATTTAATAAAAAAGTTTAAAATACTCTTATGTTTTTATCATTTGTTTGAAAGGCAAAGTGCACTTTAACTCCTATTATCCCCTTAAACTTTGAAAATGAACATATAATTCTCTTATATCTGCTTCACCCTTACTGTGTAAATTAGATGAAATGTTTAACGGTATACTTCAGTTCACAAACCACTTGGGAGTTATGTAGTCATTTCCAAACGTTAAGGGATAAATCACACATGGCCCAAACCATAAGGGATAAAATTTTCCCTAATATTAAATAATCCCTTTTAACATATTATTAGAAAGGGAGGGAGAGAGAGAGAGAGAGAGGGGAAGAGGGCTCGCAGTCGCCGCCCGATCGTCGCCCGGCGTCCTCGCAACAGCTCATCGCAGCGTCACCCGGCATCGCCTCGCCCGATCGTCGTCTCCGGCAGCCCCCGCCTCTGCCCGATCGTCGTCTCCGCAGCCCGATCGTCGTCTCCGGCAGCCCCCGCCTCTGCCCGATCGTCGTCTCCGCAGCCCGATCGTCGTCTCCGGCAGCCCCCGCCTCTGCCCGATCGTCGTCTCCGCAGCCCGATCGTCGTCTCCGGCAGCCCCCGCCTCTGCCCGATCGTCGTCTCCGCAGCCCGATCGTCGTCTCCGGCAGCCCCCGCCTCTGCCCGATCGTCGTCTCCGCAGCCCGATCGTCGTCTCCGGCAGCCCCCGCCTCTGCCCGATCGTCGTCTCCGCAGCCCGATCGTCGTCTCCGGCAGCCCCCGCCTCTGCCCGATCGTCGTCTCCGCAGCCCGATCGTCGTCTCCGGCAGCCCCCGCCTCTGCCCGATCGTCGTCTCCGCAGCCCGATCGTCGTCTCCGGCAGCCCCCGCCTCTGCCCGATCGTCGTCTCCGCAGCCCGATCGTCGTCTCCGGCAGCCCCCGCCTCTGCCCGATCGTCGTCTCCGCAGCCCGATCGTCGTCTCCGGCAGCCCCCGCCTCTGCCCGATCGTCGTCTCCGCAGCCCGATCGTCGTCTCCGGCAGCCCCCGCCTCTGCCCGATCGTCGTCTCCGCAGCCCGATCGTCGTCTCCGGCAGCCCCCGCCTCTGCCCGATCGTCGTCTCCGCAGCCCGATCGTCGTCTCCGGCAGCCCCCGCCTCTGCCCGATCGTCGTCTCCGCAGCCCGATCGTCGTCTCCGGCAGCCCCCGCCTCTGCCCGATCGTCGTCTCCGCAGCCCGATCGTCGTCTCCGGCAGCCCCCGCCTCTGCCCGATCGTCGTCTCCGCAGCCCGATCGTCGTCTCCGGCAGCCCCCGCCTCTGCCCGATCGTCGTCTCCGCAGCCCGATCGTCGTCTCCGGCAGCCCCTGCCTCTGCCTCGCCTCCGCCTCCTCCTCCCCTTGTAATTAGGGCCCCCTCCAGTCCTCCTCCCTCCTTCTCCTCCTCCTCCTCCTCCTCCTCCTCCTTCCTTCTCTTCTCCTTCTTCCTTCTTCATCTTCTTCGTTTCTGATTGAACCAGAAAAAAAAAAAATGAAAAACGACATCGTTTCTGGGATTAGGGGGATTCGGGGAGCTCAGATTCGAGCTCCCTAGCATGACTCATTTGAATAAATATATTTTATCTACACATTCCCAAACAATACCATCACCATTGGATTATAAACATCCAACGACTGAGATGAGGCCTTATCAAAACATATCTCTATTCTCTCTCTTATCAAAACATCAGTCCATCACTCTCTCGCTCTCTTCTCTCTCTATATTCCTCATTCTAATTATCAAACGTATCTCATCCATCAAACCCTATCTCACTTCTCTCTTCTTTCTCTTTTCTCTCTTGGTGTTTGGGGGTTTCGGAGAGGCGATTGGGGATGAGAGAGGGACCGATTGAGGATCGATTGGAGATGAGAAAGGAGTCAATGTTGGAGTCCACGGTTGTGGCGGTGGAGAGAGAGAGAGCTAAGAGAACCACCAGATTTGAAGCTCGAAATGAGGACCACCAGACCGATTTGAAGATCGATAACCTTCCATATCAATTCTAAACCAAGGACAACAAGATCGGTTCATTCACAGATCGATTGAGGTACTTTTTGTTCCCTTTTCTTGTTGAGATTCATTTGTTGAGATTTATTGATGAATTTTGAGAGTGATTTATTGATTTTGTTGATTCTGTAAAAAAAATGATTCTGAGATTCATTCACAATGATTTTGAGATTGGTTCATTCAAAATGATTTTGAGATTCATTCACAGACCATTTTGTTAATTCATTTGATTTCACAATTTGTTGATTTTGTTGAATTTTATTGATTCTGTGATTTATTGATTCATTTGTTGATTTTGTTGATTTAAAAAAAAAATATTCAAAAATAATTTGGTGAATTCTGATGAACAAATGGTGAAACAATTGCTGTGAGGGATGGAGGGAAACAGTTATTTTAGGCTGAGTTTGCACAAATAGCAGCTGCCAAAGCTTGTGTCAAATTTGACACAAGCTTTGGCATTTCTCAAATTTGGCAGCTGCTATATTCAATCATTGGAGCATCATTTTTGAACGGAGCTGCTATATTATAGCAATGGCAAACCATTGGAGATGCTCTAAGAGAGGTAAAAGTTAAAATAAATAATACTTTTAATACTATACTAAGTAGATGTTTGGGATAACCTACAAAAGCTAAAAAGTCAAAAAAAATTATTAAAAAAATCAAAAAGTCCATACTATTTGGGGGAAGCTTGTGGGAGAAGCTTAGAGGACAAAATTATTATTTTGTCCTTTGAATTCAAATATCCAAAAGTCAAAAAGTCAACAAAGGTAGAATGGTCATTTTGATTCACCTATAATATTTTATTACATATCTTTTCGTAAAAAGTCAAAAAATTATCCTAAATATACGTCTCCTTTTTTCTCAATTTTTTTAGCCAAAAAATCAAAAAGTGTACTAAGTGCATCCCCAACAGTTTACTTAAATTTTACCCTAAAATATTTTTAAAAAATTCATTTTCTATTTTAAGAATCACTTTTTCATCTCTTTTTTTCTATTTTCACTTTTTCATTTAAGAATCACATTTTGAAGACAACAAGGAGAGGGGATGGCCCTCGCCTTCTTAGGACCTTAAGACACCATCCTCACCACTGAAATCCCTCAAGATTTCAGTGGTGAGGAGGCCCAAACAAGGTGGTCCCGAAACTCACCAAAAATAGCACAAAATGGGGCCAAACAAGGCCTAAGAGGGGGTAAACGACCCCAAACACAAAAGTGTCCTTAATGAAGTATCTTAAACACAAAAAACAGAACTTTTTTATGTTATACACAAAGCTCAAATCAGCAAGAAAGACAGGCTAAAAGTGTGTGCAAAAACGGGGAATAAAGAAGGAAAATGAGTAACCTTTGTAGCCAAAAGGGGACATCAGCCTCTTGGTCCAAAAAAACAGTCCCTTAGTCTCTGAAAATGGCCTCCAAGCTCCTTAGGTTGATGATGGAGGTGTTGTGCTAGGAGGTGTAGTTCATATGGCTAAGAACTAGACCCATTTGCACCCTCTAACCCACACAAATGTAAAGAGAGAGGGAGATATAGAGAGAGAGTGATATATATATGATATATATCAGATTTTCGAGAGAGGCCCTCTAGTTATAGAGGCCCTCTATTTATAGAGAAGATGAAGGCTTGAAGCTTCTAAGGGAAGCTAAGCAAAAGAGTCAAGGGGGGTCAAGCTTCTCTTAGAAGCTTGGAGCAAAAGGGCTAAGCTTCTTGGAGAAGCTAGGCAAAGGGGTCAAGCTTCTCTTAGAAGCTTGAGGAAAAGGTGCAAAAGGTGCAAGCTTCTATTGGAAGCTTAGAAGGGTTCAAGCTTTTTGGAGAAGCTAAAAAAAGGGGGTCAAGCTTCTTGGAGAAGCTAAAAAGGGTCAAGCTTCTCTTAGAAGCTTGAGGAAAAGGTGCAAAAGGTGCAAGCTTCTCTTGGAAGCTTAGAAGGGTTCAAACTTCTTGGAGAAGCTAAAAAAAGGGTCAAGCTTCTTGGAGAAGCTAAAAAGGGTCAAGTTTCTTGGAGAAGCTAAAACAGAGGGTTCAAAAGGTTTAAACCTCCTCAAGAAAAGGTCTCGACCTGAAAACGTGGCCGATTGATCAAAACAATGGCTGGCCGACCAAACACAATGCCGACCGACCATCTATAGTGCCGACCGACCATCTATAGTGCCCACCGGCCAAGATCAACCCTCTAATGCCTCAGCAACTAAGGAAAGGTGTAATGGTTGGTGTTTGTGTGCAATAATAAGGACAAACACACACTTAACTCACAAGGGAGAGAGGTATAGAGATAGAATAGACACACATTTTTAACCCTAAAAACCAGACCTCTGGAGCTTTTTTTTCTAACCCTAATGGAGGGAGAAGAGGCTCCCTCTTATAGACAATCCCTCTTGTAAAGCTTTCCAAACAAGCTAGTCAAGAGGGAGATCCCTCCATACACGGGGAGCAAAGTGTATGCCAGCTAGCACAGCTGGCATAAAAATATATGCAAAAGCAGATGAACAGTGGTCGGCCAGCCAAAAATGCAATTTGACCAAAATAGATGGCCGGTCGACCATCTAGAGTGCCGGTCGGCCAAACATTTGGCCGATGGCAACAAAACACAGCCGGTGGCCTCAATCCATGGCCGGTGGAGTGTGGGGATGGCCAACAAGCCATTCCCTGCCCTCCAAAGCAAAACACAAGTGTTTGGTACAAAACTAAACACAAAATAGTCGAGTCGAGAGATCCTGAGGCAAGGCGAGTAGCCGAGACCTCCGAGAACTCAAGACAAACACAAACAAGGATGATCACCGAGTGTTCAAACGGTGACGTTCAAGTCTTGAGGACGGTCAAAAATGGGGTGTCTACAGTTGTCCCTCTTTGACAGAACTCGAAAGTCATATGAATGACGGGAGTGAGTGTCAAAGCCCAGAGACAACCCATTTTTGACAAGGCCGAAGACTTAGACAAAGCATGCAAGCTACAGATAAAGATATGCGCCCGAAGGCAGGGGGCAAAATGCAAGACAATGCACAAAGCCGAGCATAACTTATGATCATGCAAGAAACATAGGGACGTATCCCGGTGTTTCGGAAAGGTATAAGCATTGGAATGTATTCCAAATGCTCTTAACCAAAGAGGGAGAAACATAGGGACGTATCCCGGTGTTTCAGGAAGGTATAAGTATTGGAACGTATTCCAAATGCTCTTAACCAAGGAGGGAGAAACATAGGGACGTATCCCAGTGTTTAGGAAAGAGAGAGAAACATGGGGACGTATCCCGGTGTTTCGGAAAGAGAAGGAGAAACATAGGGACATATCCCAATGTTTCGGAGAGAAGGAGAAACATAGGGACGTATCCCGGTGTTTCGAAAAAGGAGAAACATAGGGACGTATCCCGGTGTTTCGAAAAGATAAAGGAAAACATGGGGACGTATCTTGGTGTTTTGGAAGAGAAGGGGAAACATAGGGACGTATCCCGGTGTTTCGGAATGAAGGAGAAACATAGGGACATATCTTAGTGTTTCGGAATGGAGGAGAAACATAGGGACGTATCCCGGTGTTTCGGAAGGAAGGAGAAACATAGGGACATATCCCGGTGTTTCGGAATGAAGGAGCAACATAGGGACGTATCCCGATGTTTCGGAATGGAGGAGAAACATAGGGACGTATCCCGGTGTTTCGGGAGGAAGGAGAAACATAGGGACGTATCCCGGTGTTTCGGAATAAAGGAGAAACATAGGGACGTATCCCGGTGTTTTGGAAAGAGACAGAAACATAGGGACATATCTCGGTGTTTCAGAAAGGGAGAAGAAACGTAGGGACGTATCTCGGTGTTTCAGAAAGAAGGAGAAACATAGGGACGTATCTCGGTGTTTTGGAAAGAAGGAGAAACATAGGGACGTATCCCGGTATTTCGGAAAAGAGAGCGTGCACAACAATGGAATTGAAAGGGTGCATAACAATGCGAGTGGAATGCATGACTACGCAAGTGAAGAGGTGCATAACAATGCAATACAGGTTTACAAGGCAGTGCGATGTAAATTAAATGCACAAAACAGTGCGATGCAATGCACTAACAAGTACAGGTAAGGTGCGCAAGAGAAGTGCGATAAAATGCATTTTCTATGCAAGTATGGGGGCATTAATCATGTACTCTGGCGCCTCCGATTTACCTCTCAGAGGACTTGGCAACACGCTCTGCTCAAAAGGGGACACCCTGTCTATATTGGCGAGAGATAACATCTGCAGTTGCTTTAATTGCGATTCTGACTTGAAGCAGGCTTACACTTGAGGTAGAGGCGCACTCATACTTCGGTGGCATTGACAAGGGTTGAAAAGGTACATCCGGAATACAATCACGGAATTTGAAACAAACTCAGATGCTCCGATTTTCCCTCT